AGATATATATATCTATATTTAATACAGATATATTCACTAAAAATATTTATGAAATACATTTTTTTATATTGTTAGCCTTATGTTAGGGCTTTTGGTTTAATGATGACAAAAGATTATTCTTGATTCTTACTAATCACAATATGCTGTAGTTCCACATTGTCACCATAAGAAGAAGATCTGAACTTGATAAAGAGCCATAAATAACAATTTAATACATATACGTTTGCAAAAGGCAAATGCTTTCCTTCCTTTCTACACTAGCAATAAAAGGGGATGTTGGCTGGCTGACCCATGGTGGAGAGTTTTTTTCTTCATCCCTCATGGGAAATATTTGCTTCTAGGAACAGAGGAGTGTATAGGAACATCATAACCATAACCAAACTTTATTAAAACAAGAAACAAAACATAAAACTGAATTAAACTGCTTTTTTGGATGTTGGTGTCTCTTTCCTGGTCGGATGCAGCTTCCTCACAGTTAAGAAAGGATGCGGTGAGAATCCGGAAGCCTGCGGCTGCTCATTCTCCTGCAGGTTTAACATAACAGACATCAGTGCCAGATTATTTCGAACCATTGGTGAGATTTATTTCAGCGTTCTGTACCTGACTTCCTGCCTGCCTGTTTGCATTACCTGTTCTGTCTCTTCATACCCGAGCCTATCTGACCCCTGCCTAATGTGATTTCCTGCCTGTCTGCCCTACCTGCTCTGTATTCCGATTATCTGCTCCAGCCTAATCCCAGTCTGATCTGTAAGCCTGCCTGTTACAGGACTAAGATCTGTACCCTGACTCTGCCTTGGGTTTCCCTCTGGATTCTCTCTGGACCTCACATCACCCCGCTCTGAGCCTGGACCTCATCTCTGACTATGGATTCTGGAAATCCCCACTGGACCTCTTGCTACTCATTGTCTTTGCAGTTCTGAAACCCTGTCTGTTCCCTGAAAACTGCACACAAGGGTTCTCCTGATCAGTGCGGGGGTCATTAGCATGCCAAATCTACCAGTTTGAGCTAGTGCTCACTGTTCCCATCAGACCCTGGACTGTGAGAAGAGGATCCTGCCAGATAGGCTGATGATAACACCAACACCTGCTACAGTTTACCTTTTAATAAACTTTAAACATCACCTATTTGCTCTGGCTAAATTCTGGGTCCCTATTCTCTGAGCATAACATCTACACTTGTTGAACTGATGATCAGACTGGATGGTATCACAGCGTCACATCTTACATGCAGCTCATTAACAGCTTTGCTACATACCTGCACTGCTGGACTCGTCATAGCTTCCTTCTCCTCTTCCAGGGTTTTTAGCAGTTTTTGAAGCTTCCGCCCCGGCAGCGCCTTCTTCAGGTTGCTCTTCGGGAACTCGCTACCCTCCTGTTGAAGCTGCAACATAGACCTGGAAGCATCAGCTTTGAGGGATGGAGGGGGGAGTGAAGTAGGATGAGGACAGTTTACCTTCTCAAAGGCCTGCAAGAGCATCTCGCGCTCCACTTTTTCTTCTCTGAGCTGAGCTGAAACAAGGGCCTTCTCTGCGTAGTACCTCTGATTATGGCAAACATCAAAATCATTAGTATTATTGTCTAACAGCAGCTGCAAAACAAACATCATCAGTGTAACCTTCATCCCACATCATGATAATTATAAACATCAATCTCAAAGTTATCATACAGATCTCTGAGTCTAATGAACTTCAACTGGAATGCTAATATTTGATGGTGGGAAGCTTCCAAATGTTTCCCCAGGGTTTACACTTTGATGGAATCCGTATTTCTCTTCCAAACTGAGGTTTAAGAGTCTCCAATGTACCTTCGTCTGGTCTTTGCAAGACCTGTCTTCCAGCCTTTTTCGCTCCTCTGAGATCTGCTGTCTGACTTGCTCCAACTCCCTCAGAATTCGCTTCTCCTCCTCCTCCTGCTCCTGTGTAGTTTTTGCTGCCTTTATTTCCAACTGGACCCTCTTCTTATGCAGCTTCTCCCTCTTTTCCCACACAGACAAACACAGGATACAAATGGATGGAGGATCATTCTTGTGACTTAAATTAGACTTGAATTAGGTTTTTCTGTGCAGTGACTGAACAGAGCGATTTACCTCACGAATGAAATCCTTCGTTTTTGCTTCCAGAATCTTTGGTCCTTGTTCTTTCTTCTCCTTAAGGTCTATTATAAGCTTCTCTTCGTGGTCATCTTTGCTTTTTTTTCTTAGCTCCATAGTTGTTGAGAAGCTCCTGATGCTTACCCAGGTATTTCATGCGGAGAGACTGCATTTCTTCGACACCACTTTTGTCCATCACTGAGAGGGGGTTAAAAACAAGGCAAAAAAATAAGTTTAAGAATAGAAGGGAGGACTGACAAAGGACTGAGGAGAGAGAGCCAAACTCACATTGCTTCCTATGATCATTGTCTTTTATAAGCTGAGACAGCTCCTTCA